ATATTGGTCCTTCGACTGCAACATTATTTTATCAAAATAAGAAGAAAGAACTGAAAATTAAATAAAATAAAGTTGGGTCAAACCAATGGTTTGCATTGTAGCACTTTTACCTTTAACAAGTGAAAATACTGCTTTTAAATGCAGTCCACGTGTACCTACCACACTATTAAAATTATTTTTTTCATATACGAGACCATTTCTAGGATTTCATATATTTAGGATGAACGATTTATGAAGTCTTTGAAATAAACCAAAAATTAATATAAAGAGGAGTTAACATAATGCTCAATTTTAAGATTTAATTGCGTGAGTTAAGAAAAATAATTGTATTTTTTATTGGCATGGAATTTACCGTTAGCGTTTTGCGTTTATAAAAATTTGAAAAAGCTTTCGGTTTCGGAAATATAAGATGTTAAAAATTCAAATTTTACAAATTTCAAGAGCCGATAACTTGAGAGGGGGTGAAGATGGAAAAAAATTTTCTTCTAACAAAATGAAGCAACTCACTGCTTTTCTGCGTTTGCAAAATTTGGAAAATGCGTGTGGTTGTACTACAAGAAATAGTTGAAAAGATATTTTTAGGGTTTTGGGTGGATAACTTTTAGAGGGGAAGAGATATGTAAAAATTTTGTTCTTCGAAAATTAGTTTCTAAGATTAAAGATCTAAAGTGATGATTAAAGTTCTATTAGATTAAAGATCTATGTACATATAAAATTTTAGGTTTCTATCTTCAAGGGTGTAGAAGTTTTGTAAACAGACACACGGATAGATGGACGGACAGTGTGAAACTAATAAAAAAAAAAAATTTTTCAAAAATTTTCTGGAAAAGCGCTAAAAATATAAAAAATTTACTTATCATTCATTTTTACTTAACTATATTTTTCTGGATATAATAAAGTTCATCATTTAAGCAAATCACAATACAATCATATTCTTTTACCACGTCCTAGTTACATTATTACTTTTATATTTTAATTTTCTACTCATACCACAAAAATCAGAAAGAAATTACTGATGTTCAACGAACTAGGTAAATAATATAAAACAGGAAACCGCATAAATTTTTTTTCTCTTTTACTTAGGAAACATAAAAATATTAAGAAATGAAAAAAATAAAGAAAGTCAAGGAATCTATTTTCTTAAATCGACGCATCTGTTTATGTCAATTTTTATTGTACTATAGCTCAATTCAATCGAATATCTTCTGTTTTCCACTTAAGTTAACTGGGTTGATTTCGCAGCTATATTGAATATTATTGTGTTAGAAGAAAATTATTTGAAAATAAAAAAGGGAGAGAAAACATTTATATTTTTTTGTATTTTGTTTTTGTTTTTTATTTGGAAAATGTGTTATTTTCGAGATGTGATCCAAGAGTTACGACTGTCTATTTCAATCATTTATTTCGATAAATATATCGATAAATTAAATTCATAATGCATTTTATTATTATTACATTTGTAAATACTTGTTTGGGAATGTACTTGAATTACACATTAAATATTAAACACTGATACATATTATTTAGATAAGACACAAAAAAAAAGTTTATTACTAAGAGATATAAATAAATTTGCATAAATTTTAAATTTAGAAAAGTAAAATGAGTACATAATAAAAATTGAATTATGTCTATGTAATTATAAGTATGTATATGAAATATGAATAATCAATTTTGCAATAATGAATATGATAAGAATAATGTAATTATTGAAAAAAAATACACTTATCTAGATATATGGAATTCTATGGTAGCATATAATAGCAGCTAGAGTAAGAAATTTTACCATTTCAAAATCTGCACATTATGTTTGAAATATGTTTCTTTTAGTGGAAGTTTTCCAATCCTTCCAAGAAACTTGAATCAGCCAATGTTTTTTTGCAATTACATTTTTTAAAATTTTGTTTAATGTTGACGATGAATTAAAAATTATTGTTAAGTTGTATTATTTTATAATTAAACAACTATGCATACATTTGAATACATCGCTCTCTTTTTTGACCAATACGTCCACGCGACGTATTGGTATTATCAAATTTATCGAGAAATTCTGCAATTTGGTGAAGAAATAACAAAAAAATATTGCAGTTTCTTCTTTTTTAAGTTAGGTGAAAACAATAAAGTGTAAATTATACATATATTTTTATTACATACATATGCATTTAATACATATTCATATACATATTATTTAATATGCATTTTTGTATGTTATAAAAATTCTATGCATCAGAACTTACAAAATATATAAAAATAAAGTTAATTTTTTTGAAACTCTAAAGCTTAACGAAAATTGTACTAAATTTCATGTAAGTTCATTTCACAAAATTTCTATTATTAGATAATATTAAATATTATTTTAAAACAGTCAAAAAACAAAAAACACTTTGAACAAAAATTTGATTTCCGCTTTTTGTTGACCGTTCCAAAATTTGGTGGCGTGCGTGTCGTACAAATGATAAGCTTTTTGCTACTTATAGGTGCTTTTTAAACTATTATATCTCCTATTGGAATTACCAAATTCAACCTTTTATTAAAAATTTTTAAAATTTTATATTAAATTCAAAGGAATATTTCCAAACAAATATTGATTAGATCCAATAATTTTTAATTTTCAATAGGTAGGATTCTTTTTTAATTTTTTTCAAAGAGTCACTTTTTGTTTCAAATTCCAAATATGAATTGAAATCGCGCGCTATTTATTATACCCTGCACTTCGTAAAGGAAATGGAGCTTGTAACCATTTGAAGGAGTCGTCTCCGGTATGAACATATATCAATATATTCTTGCTCAAGCTAATTTTAAATATTTGGAAAAATAATAAAGCTGGATTCATGAAACTCGGCAGCCGTGTGTCCAATTTTAGGTTAGATACATTTTTTGAAGTTTTGATTGAATGACTTGAGAGGTTCTAGTACCTGCCATACAACTCTAAAAGACAATTTTAAATGTTTAAAAAAATATTAAGGCTAGATTTATGCTAGATTTGCCACTGGTCAGACATAATATTCTAACAACTCGATTGAAACTAACATATTCAGATATAATATCAGTTTCAATCGAGTTGTTAGATAGGTTCAAATAATTTCCATTTAGCAATCAAAGCTATTTCTAAATATTTCAAAAACAAATTTTTAAACTCGAATTGTCAAAGTACAGGGTTTATACCGACTAAAACGTTTTTACTTGTTTAAACTAAAATTTCTTATCTATAATTAAAATATCATGTCAAGCAAATGCGTGAAAGGCAACTAAGTATAATAGCTCACTACAAGAGAGTAACATGTTATAATGTTCAATTAACAAACATTGTTATAGAAAATTGGATTCACACTGTTTAAGCTGTTTTTCACTTGACAGTAAGACTTGTTTTAGTTGTTTCTATTTATTAAAAAATTTCGAAAGAAAAAAATATTAAAACTAATACAAAAAGTGGATTTCAATTTACTATTACCATCATATTATGTATTTAGAAAAACTAATGTTTTGATTCATGAGCTTGAACGCAAGTGGTAACGTTGTACAAGTTACGTTTAACATCCAAATAGATTAACTCATACCTATTGAACGATAAAACTGTAAAACACAATATTGCAGGATTTCAACAGCTAGGATATCCGCATCAGTGCTATAAGTTAATGGAAGTATTTAGATTTCTACATATTTAATTATATTTTTCTCGTTTCCATGCTTCTATAAATATTTTCATTTGTTCATTGTTTCAATTATTTTTCTTCTTTCATTCATGGTTGTTGTTATATAATAATTAATATGAAAATATTTTTATAATTTATCGAAGTGATGAAAATTATAAAAATTTAAATAAATAACGATTGTCAATTTGACTTTTTTAAACTTTCTTTCGAAATTTCCTTTGATTTGAGAGAAAAATCTTAAAAATAAATCATTCACAATAGGAAAATATATTTTGAAAACCATTATGTTATCCTCAAAAACATGTCTTAATTTAAGAAATTTTTACCATGTAAAATTTGTACTCGTAGTTTAACACTATGCATAACATGCTATTCGACAATAACATGTTATTCGTTGTAGTGTAAATAGCGTATTACAAATAATCACGAAAAGCTGATCTGAATGTAAAATTTATGATATAAACATTATTTATAGACATTCAGAAATAGAATACTGAGAAAGCTTTCTTAAAAATATCGCTCACAGAAAAAATAATAAATATATTCAGCGTATTGATAACATGAAGTAATTTTTGTAGCAAAAATATTAAAAGAGTGCAGCATTTTTTCAAAACTTTATAATTAAGTTTAAAAATAAACTGTTATACAGATCATCTCCAGTATCTAAATACACACCTGCAACTGATGTATACGAGCAATAGTTTTTTTTATTCTAAAATCATACATTTACTTTAATTCAAGTAATATTTTACGAGAAATAAAATAAGAGTTAGTTTAATAAAACAAGAGTACGAAAATTGGTTTTGTTGAATTAATTGCAAAATGAAAAATTTTATACCGCACTGTTGTTTTTGAAAAAAAATTTAGAAATTTTTTTTTTATGCCTTTAGCTGATATATGCTACCTACCTAGAATTGAAAGAAAACCTAAGTAAAAGAGTAATGAGCTATTTTAATGTCATACGCCTTGTGATAGGGGTTTTGCTATGGTCTACACTCAACTCCTACTCCCCCATAATTGCTCTAAGTCTAAAAAGAAATTTCATCTATCTCAACATTTAGAGCAGAAAATATTAAGAAATAATAAAGGAAATAATTTTTTTCTAGCGGTTTTGATTGAATTCGGCGTTCTTAATAATAATAAATAACTATTCTACTCGATCAGAAACGTGACAAAGTGACATCACTGAAATAAATGCTTACGTACGATTTTATGTTTACGAATAATGTTCAGCAATAATTTTTTTCAGTCAAGTGATTTAGTCAAGTCAACGATCTTCACGTTGTAGCAATAAATTTTTGTGGTCGGTTGAAAAATAAAGCAATGGTAAAAACTTGTGCTTTTCAAATATAAAAATATAAATACAAATAAAATGTATTATACAACCATATAAATACATATCCACATTCATATATACATATATTAATGCATATGTGTGTTATACGAGTATTGTGTTCATTATTTTATATTTAAAAAAAAATTAAAAACACTTCAAATTTAATTTTACAAAAAAAAAAATATGCATCTTAAAGCAAATTCTTAATATTTGAGTATACATGTTTGGGCTAGTTATAGAATTACAGTGTAAGTAAAGATATGCGTTGACGTATCTGCCGGATACTTTTTTGTGCTTATGTATTTTTATATTTATTATTATGTTTGTATGTATAGAGCTTGATTACAAGTAAACAAACACAATTCAGCGTTAATTAAACAAATTTTGTGAGTAACGTGTGTTCAGTAATTCTTCTTAAGGTTGACGAGTGGAAAGTTATGGCAAGATCTTGCAACAAGTCTCTATAAATAAAATTTGGTTTATTTTTTTTTAAAATATACAAAGTTTTATAAATAAACACAAAGTAAAAGTCAATAAAAACAGGGGTATTGAAAATGTTTTTAGTTGTTATTGAATATCGAAAAAATTAATGTTAATAATTTGTAATTACTAACAAAATAAGCAAAAGTATATACCTATACATATGTACATATGTAATATAGAAATTTATCTGAAAATCCAAAATAATGCAATATCATCAAATATCAAAAGATTCGCTAATATTATTAAAGCTGGCTCTCAAACTTCTATTAAAACGTGTATTTGAGCTTCTGTTAAAATGAGTATGCATGTACATTCATGCATAGTGAATTAGTAAAAATTTACTTATGTTCCCTGGAATTTTTTTTCTAATGATAAGATTTTATTTGTTATCAAAGTTATGAAATAATGAACATACATATGTATGCGTACAGATAAAAGAAAAAAATTTTAGTGATTCATACTTCAATGCGTGTACATATTCTAAGACGGATAGGTAAAAATTTTTTTTAGTTCAAACCGGTTTTTTTTTTACATTGCTGTTTTATTTACGAAGAAATCTAAATTTAAAACACTGCATTCTCTAAATTTCAAGCTACTATACTAAACTAAATAAAAATTACTTCGAAAAACAGTAATTTGTAAGTTAAACTTAAAATTTACGTAGTGCGTTTTCAATGTGTTCTTATTCAACGTAATTATTATGACTAATAGTAACACCTAATGCCGCTATTAATAAACATATAAGTTTCGCACCCTTGGAATAACACTATAAGAATTAGTTGAAAGAAGGTTGCTTAATACTAAACTCTATCTATTTTTACAGACTTTTAATGTTTATAATTTTATAGTTACAAAAGTTTTCAGATAATCCTAAACAGAGATTAATATTAGCTATGTAGTTGAATATATGTATTATATGAGTGAAGAGGGGAATAATTTTTAAATTTACAAATAATTTATGACATTCTCAATTACGGTTTTCCTAAAATTATGTACATATAGGTATATGTATATGAATTCTAAATGTATTACGAGATTGTTAGTGTTATTTCAAAAGGAGATTTATCGACAGGTAGCTATGGCTAGTCAAGCCAGGTAGAATTAAAATATCTCTCGCAGTTACATATGCTTAAAACAGTTTCTTTTTTTTTGTATCTATCAAAATAAATGTTCAGAACATTAAGAAATGGCGACAGTAGCTTCATAGTTGAATTTTTTTTTTTTGATTCAAGTTCGCACAAATTAAAAATTCATACCTGTGTATAGATTATCCCTGCAAATGAATATGACGCTTTAAAAATAATCTTCTCTGTTCAATTCATAAATTTTAATAAAACTCATAAAGATTACACTGAATAAAAATAGATTTGTTTGTAATTATGTTCAAAAGCAAAAAATTTTTGAAGAACAACGAAAATAATATTAAGCGGATAAATTTTTGTTTCAAGTTTAACAATTTCCGTCAAAATTTAACAGTTTGATACGAAAAATTATAGCGAAAATAAAAATTTGCTGATAGCTGTTAAAAACTTTCGCAAAAAATTAACTGTTGTCATTTTACTTTTAAAAAATTTGGTAGTGAATTTGATAAAAAATAAAATAGTTTCTATTATTTGCCAAACAGGGTTTGCATATACGATTTACATTAGGCGGGAGATATGCAAGTTTGTCGTATATGCAAACTGTAGCTTTAGTTCCTCAAACCTAAAAAAATTTCATATCCACAATAAAAATAATTTAGTTTGTGGGAAAGGGGGTGAAATGTAATAAAACAAAAGTTAAAAATATGAGACCCATATTCTGCGTAGGAATCATTTCCGCAATTTAGGCTTTTGAAACGTAAATAAAATATATTGACGTAGGGGTGTGATACATAGGAGAACTTAAATCAAGAACGATTATGTTTTTATTTACTCTTCTAACTTTTATAATTTTATTTACTAACACATATGAACTCACTTATCAGTTTTAAAATAAAAATCATTTATATTTTTATCATCTTTTGTTAAACATATTTCATTAGTGTTTACGCTAGAATCAGTAGAAGAAAAAAGCTTTAGGTGAAAAGAAAACAAAATATTCGTGTGCGCGCGTTTTATAAATTTTAATTATTAAAAAAGTTTAAACGATCCGAAAATTTTGTATGCAGAAACATTGTAAGCCGAAAAATAATTGAAAAGAAAAAACTAATTTAATGTTAACTAAACGATGTAAGTTGTTGTTATGATTAGAAAAAGAACTTGGTGAAAACAGCTTGTTTCTTATCACAAAATAAAAAAAATATGCAAGCAGTGAAACTAATTCGATTTTTAAAAATTAATTGAATATTTTAAAAAAATTTTTGTAATTTAAAGTGTTTAGTATTATGTAGGTAATCATAGAATATAAAAACACTGCAAAACAAAATTAATGTGCACACGAACAATAATTTTTAATCTTTAAATTTACAAATTTGAAAATTTTAATTAAGATTGCGAAATTGGAACACGCTGAAGGAAAAAATCTGTGCCTATTATGTACATACATACATACACTTTTACAGATAGTTAGAAATCAAACGTATTATAAAATTTTATTTAGGCAAAATAGATGAATCAGATGAAATTTACAATTATTTCGAACCAAAATACCTATTTTTGAATTCTAAAACTATCAATTAAAATTGTAGTCTATTTGTTGAAACAATAAGTGGGTTTAATACATGCATGTGGGTTATATGTACCAAAGATCATTTCATTCGTAGAACTCAAGAACTTTCTTATTTTGCTATACATATAAGACTCCTTAGTTCCCAAAATGCAGTGAAAAGATAAAATTTAAAATGTGTCTAGTTCCAAAATGTATAATAAAATTTCTTGATATTGTACACTATTCTAAAATGATTTGAATACGTAGTCGAACCAAATAAAAACAAAGCGTGTAGCGAAAAAATTGAGACTGCTTTTTATAAACATCTGGATATTGTTCTATTAAATGTTAGAAATTTAAAATTTTGAAATCGGTCTAATCTATTTTGCCTACTTTCATTATTATAGCATATCTTCTTTCTTATTTATTTAATATATTTTTTAATATTTTTAATTGGGTTTTTAAACAATTAAAATTGTAATCAATTGTGTCTAAAAATATTCATTTAGGATATTATTTCGGAAAAGTATTTAATAAATTTTTAAAATATTTTTCAAAAAAACAAAGAAATTCGAGAATCAAAAAGCCAAGAACAACAAATTAGTAAAATTAAATTATTAAGTCTTCAGAAAATCTATTGTGTATATGTTTATTTATCGTCATATTGATATTATTCTAAAAGTAGCAAAAGCTTACATATAATGCCGCGTTTTAAAAAGCTTTTCGTTATTATAAAACTGAATTTTATAGTGCGTTTTGGAAGTCACGGAATCTTAAAATTAAAAATATTTATTCTGGAAGGACTCCAAAATAAGACAAATTTTTTTTTTACAAATATAATTTGCTACAGATTATGGGTCCGAAAACGTGCAAAATACTCTTTAGTATTTGAAAAACAGCTTTTCGTTTAAGAATTTTTATAACTTAAAAAATGAGAATAAGTAAATCAATTTATACATATTTACACAATTTTTATCTGAAAAATACATTATGAAAGGATTTTTTAAGTATAACAAAAACAATAACTTTATGCATATATTAATTAATGGAGAAAGTTTAAAGTTTTTATTCTTAAAACAGTAATAAATTACTAGTAAAATTTTTAGCATTACTGAATTATATTAAAAATTTTTATTATACATAGTTTCAAGATTTTAAAATGCAAATGGTTTCCATTTTGTTATATGAGGTCCTTTACTCAAATTATGATTATTCTGTTTGCTTTGAGTTTTTACTTTTGTTTATCTTGATGACAACTTTAAAATTTTCATGGAATTCAAAGAACTTCAATGTTCTTTATAATTTGAGCTTTTATTAAAATATAACAACCAAAGTAGTATTCGTATGTATGTACATACATACTTATATGTCAGTATCTACTGATAAGAATTTCATAATTTAATTTCGATGATATCATGCAAGTTTAAGATAAAATGAATAAAAATTAAATTAAAGAATGCCCAAATATTCATGAAATTATGCCACAGACTTAAATCAATTCATGTTTCATTTTTTTAGCATGTCCTATGTATGTATATTCCTAAATGATAAATTAGCATTCGGACCTAACATTATGTATGTAATCGCAAACCCAGTATTTACATTTAATGTGAATATTCATATTGCACACGTATGTATGTTTGTGTATAATATTATTTGAGTACACCGTTCTCAAATACATATACCTATGCATTTTATGAATTCCTTTATATTATACGTTTTTTAAAAGGCATGTATATAACAAACGGTAACTAGATATTGAAATGTGTATCCTTTCAGTAAAAGATTCCTGTGGTACTCGTTTTCATTTTTAAATGAAACAAAAAAAAAATACATAAGAAAATTTGAAGCTTAATAGTAAAGTTCTTTAATTATTATTTATAGCCTTACATAATTATTATGAAAATCAGAACGGTAAGAAGTTAAAAACAATAAATGTTAAAAAATAAAAAAAAATTAAAATCTTTCCTTATATTTTTCTTATGTATACACGAATAAAATCTTATCGCTTTTGTATATTAAGGTGAAATTTATTGATGTGAAAATGTAAGAAAATTTTTCATAATATTCATTTATCTCATTAAATTATGTTCTGCAATATTTACGTAAAATATGATTTTCTATACATACCTAAAAATGGACTTGTATATAGTGATAATTTTATGTTTATACATGGTGATTCTGAAAGGTATACAACAATATATTCCATTGGTTAGAAGATCGAAAATGGATAAAACATTTGTTCCGGACTGGGTGACAAATCTCAAGGGTTTCCAAGTTCCAGAGTATTTAAAGAATTTTCACGAAATTTTTATTTATCCAAGTTTTTTTGATTACGACTTCCGTTCTGAAAAAGATGGGGTCAAACAAACAGTTTCTGAAAGGCCTAGAGAAGGGCTTAAAATAAACATGTTGTTTGATTCTGTATTTTATGTATCTTCGGAATACAAAGCATTCGAACTTTAGGCAAAATTAAATTTTTCTCTTGTTTTATTTTTTCAGTTTTTTTTAATTATGTAGATAAATTCGTAAGAATTATTTTTTATAGTTTTGCCCAGCTGCTTAAGCTTTAATTTAAGTTCTCAAATATTAAAAAATTTTTATGGCACAGAAAATTTGTCACAAAAACCGTTTCTATGTCAAGATTTTAAAGGCTCTATTTTTCACTCTTTTTGCTTTTTACTTATTTCAAGCGCTGTAATTATCAACTATCATTAATTTTGGATGACGAGAGTCCCTCGAAAAAACAGTTGACATTTTTAAGAGCCGTTATTTTTTTACAAAATTTGAATTTTAATGTTTTTATTGAAATTTAACAAATAATAACAAAATTGAAACGAAATTTTATACAAACTTTTAATTTGAAAAACAAAAATTGATTTTAAAAAATTTGAAATTTTTGAAAAGAAAAACTAGAATTTTGTATAGGAAAAACAAAAAAAATTCTAGTAATCAAAAAATTTTTTTTCGAAACTTTTCTTGGTAAAAAAAATTGATAGGTTTTTTATTTTTCCCAATTTTTGTAAGAAATGGTACCTATATGGTTTGAAACTTTTAAATGCATTTTTCTCACATTGGGTGCAATTTAAAAATTTGAAAAAAACATTTTCGAAATCTAGACAGCATTTGGCATCTGAAGTTATTAAAATTTTTAGCTAGAGCGAATTTTTGAAGACATGCCATATAAATTTTGACTTTTAATTTAATAGAAAAAAAATTTTCTTAATAGGAAAATTTAATTTTTTTTATACAAAATGGAGTTTGTAAGTGATATGATATGAACATTATGAAGCTAATAAATAATTAATAAATAATTTAATGGGATTAATAAATTTTCAACAAACTTCTACAAAAACCAAAATTGGTGTACGGTTGATGCAAGTAAAGAGCAATTTCAGCAAAGCAAATAATTTCAAATATGCGATTGAGAAGAAATAGATTTGAAAGAAGAAAAACATAAATTTTTTCAGAATTTGGTGAACTTCATAGGAAAAGTTGGTGTTTGTTTTGAGAAATTTGTAAAATTTTTGGATAAGGAATGCATTCGTATTTTTTCAAAGTTTTTGATAAAGGAATATTGAAAATTCAATTTTAGTTTTTTCAACATCTTGCTTTAATTAAATATTTGGCTCACAATATTTGTGGTTTTTCTGCTATATCTTCTGTAACATAAAAATTTTTTTAATGCTAGACGATTAAAGCTTAAACGGCTGGGCAAAATTCTATAGAAAATATTTCAAGATTTTAAAAAATTTCTTACGAAATTATCTAATTAGAAAGAACTGGAAAAATAAAACAAGGAAAAAATTTGATTTTACCTAAAGTTCGAATACTTCGTTTTCCGAAGGTGCTAAAAATACAGAATCAAGCAACATGTTTATTTTAAGCCCTTTGCTAGGCCTTTCAGAAACTGTTTTTTTGAACTTCCTATCTTTTTCCGAACGAAAAAGAAATCGGAAACCCTTGAGATTTAGAAGCCACATCGGAACAAATGTTTTATCCATTTTCGATCCTCTAACGAGTGGTATATGTATGTTGTTGTATAGCTTTCAGAATCACCCTGTATACACGAACATATTATATAAACTTTACTAAGCAATATAAAATATTGCGGTATTAAGTTCTTCAAGCTTACTTTAAAGTAAAATATATTAATTTAATTACTTGGTGCTATAGCGTAAAGAGCGCGGAATGATTTACGCGGTTATTAACAAAAATTGGTTTCTGTATTCAATTCCAAACACCCGATGGGCCTGAAAAGCTATTTTAATTATTATTGATTTTTTGTAACAATTTTCTTGTGAAAACTTTTTCTATATACTGCAACAGTAATATGGGATATTTCTGAAAATGCACATCTTAAGATTAGAACTGCAAAGCTTCAATAGCTTTACATTTAATTCATACATGAAGCTCTCAAAATAACGCACTTATAACCTTATAAGAACTATATTTTAAAAAATAACCATGTTTGACAAGCACTTTCTTACTGAAACCATACAACACCATCTTCATTCATTATTAGAGTCACATTCGCCTTCAAAAACTGTAATAAATAAATTGTTTTTTTTTTTTTTTAAATGGTAAAAGTCAGTTTTCTCAAAAAACTTTTTAAATTCATTTTATTTTAGCTTCACATCACACTATAGCCAATTCTCAATTTTTTGCATTCATCACAACCTTTCAAAATTATATGCTTTGTTTTTAAAAAAATTTGTTTAATATTTAATAATATTCTTATATTTTTCTTTCAGTGGAAAACGTAAGAGCGAGAGTGTTAATATACGTCCAAATGCATTTACATGTGTGATAACAACATTTATAAGACTAATACAGATGTATGCGTGTTGTTTACTTGAACAAAAGAAATTCCTACTTTTATAAGGTAACGTTAATATCCTTTTCAATGAATTAATTTGTTTTTTTAGTATTTTAGGGTAATATTAAAAAATTTCTATACATTTTGCTTTTACATTTTGTTAAAATGCTGCCGTAATTCATTAAAAATCTCTGAGAAAATTAGTTAACCACACTATCAAACTTTGTTCACATGGGCTATGTGATTTGATCAATATAATGCCATCCAAATATCATCAAACAAAATTCATGGTCATTATTCGCCGCTTCATCAGTAATTGCCAAAATATTTCGAAAAAAAAAAAAACGATTTTAAGAAATAAGTTAATTTTACTTAGCTCCAAAATTCGAATCAAGAGAAATCGTAACAAGGTCGAATTTTAATATTTCCTAAAATGATAGCATGTAGATCATTTTGCTCCTTGTATTAATCCCTCGTGAAGACCTCCTGCTTTTACATAATAATATCTAATTCCTGTTATATTTTATTGCTTGATAAGTTTTAATTAAAAAGGCAATTTAAATTTTATATGAGAAGTTTTGAAAGAACTAATGAAAGCCAATTTAAGAGAGTTCAGTAGCGTGTCAGAAACATTACATAATTCAAACAGTTAAAAATGTTTGACTCTTTAATGCATGGTTTCAACTTTTTTATTTTGCAAACTTTTCATTATTTCCGGCAGTATTCAAAATGACACATTTCTCAAAATTATTTAGAGAAATATACTCTCTTGTTACCTATTTAGAAATGGTCTTTCCCTGGAAAAAGAGTAAATTTCTAAATAAGTATAATAAGTTATTTTTAGCATATATAGGTTAGTTATATAAGAAGGAAGAAAGTTGACTACCGGTATTTGCTTGTGTAACAGGCATTTTTGGATAAACCTTAATTACAATAAAAATATAGTTTTCAAGAGCAGAGTCTTCTTTACTCTAGTACTTTTATATAGCACGATCCCAAACGTAATAAGAGACATTTACAGACTGTTTTCTGGTATACTTTAGGGCTCCATTTTCATATTAAATAACAAGCAATTTAATTTTGCAAATGCAATAAAATGTTTTTTTTTCTTTTCAGATCTTTTAACATTAAAACGATAACTATACGTATAGTACAAATTAAGACTCAAACATGAGAGAAATTATAGTATTTGGAGTCATAGTTGGGTTAATCATATTATTTGGATTACTAGTCAGATGCTATTACCTTTTCCTTCGACCTAAATGTTTTAATGAAAATGATAGCGAGACTACAGAAAGAACACTAACGGAACCCTTAAATGATATAAACACAACAACTAAACAAACTGTGTAAAAAATAAGAAAATGCCCACGATCAAATTTGCCAAAATTAATTAAATATTTTGTTAATATTAATATACTGTCATTTTAAGTGCATTTCCTTAGATAATTTATGATATTTTATTTTGTTATAAGAATAAATTTTAAATAAATAAATTTTTGGTAGTTTTGATAGATTTTTTTTATTTATTTATTGAACTATCGTAATACACAGTAAGTTTGACGACTATTCCTGCACAATTAAATAAATTTTAGTTTTTTTTTCCTTGAAAACAGATAAGGGTAAAGGAATTTCCTCCCAATGACCACCGCAGCCAGTTATGGCTTACTGTAGCGTTCAAATATCAAAATTTAGCAGTTAACATTTTATATCACAGTTTTGTTTCGACCGATTTATACCGGCCGACAAAAAATTTAGCAATAATGAAAAAATGACACGCGAATTTTTCATGAGTACATTTTGAAGTTTATTGTTCAAGTTTGAGTTACTCTGGGACAGCTACCATGAAAGGAGATGAATTCATATTCCCAAAATCTTTTTTTCCCCTTTTCAAAAATATTTAATAACTTAAAAGAATTGCAAAACTTTCATACAAAAATATATTTTAACAAATATCCTTTTGTATGAAAGTTTTTTACTGAAATAGCAACCGTCATTCAAAAGTCTACGTCCAGTGAAATTCATGATAGTGGTAAAGTTGTCGGATTAACCACACATAATAAGCCCATAAATTTGCTTACTGAATCAAAAAATTTCCTTTAAATATCTCACCGTGTACTATATTTCTTCTATTTGCAGCGTATATTTGATTCAGTAACAAAGTAAATGAAAATAAAAATTATAAAATCAAAATCTTAGGCAAAAAACAAGTAAAAATGTTTCAGTCGGTATAAACCCTGCTCTTTGATAATCTGAGTTTAAAAATTTGCTTTTGAAATATTTAGAAATAACTTTGATTGTTAAATGGCAATAGCTTGAACCTGTCAAACCACTCAATAGAAACTTCACGGATATAAAATCTGACTTATAAGTCAGACACACATGACGGCCGATTTCCATGAATCTAGCTTTAATATTTTTCCAAATAATTAAAATTAACTCTCGGAGTTGTATAGCAGCTACCCGGACGTGTCAAACCATTTCAACAAAACTTCAGGGTTCTATCTGACCTGAAATTGGACACACATTTGGTGAGTTTCATGAATCTAGCTTTTATACATATTTTTACAAATACTTAAAATTAAAATTTAAAATTATAATAAAAAATATTAAGAACATATGTGAAGTGTAATTGGACATACCTTTACAAAATTTGATATTGATATCTTTATTTGTTTTTAATATATTTAAAAAAAAACACTTTGAGTTGTATGGCAGCTACCCGAACCCGTTGTCCGAGTTGGCCCAATTACAATAACAGCCGTCGTTTGCGCAAAAGAAACAACTTGTGAAAATATGGTACCGATTGCTTTATTCGTTTTTGAGTTATCGTGCGATCGGACGGACGGATTACCGGACGGACATATCTAAATTGACGCAGAATTTTACGCTGAGCAAGAATATTATATACATGTCCATACCGAAGACAACTTCTTCAAGCAGGTACAAACTCCATACCAAATTGGACTTCACGAAGATGCAGGATACAATAAAATGAAGCTCTTAAAACCGTCAAAAATAAATAAAATGAAACTGATTTACAAATACATACTTTTTTTAAAGTTTCCAAAAAAGTTTATTAAAAATAAAAATAAAAACATGTTCTGTAGTAGGTTTTTATATATTTTGTTATGCTTCAGAAAAAAATTTGATGTTGTATTTTGTACTGATGGGAACATATTCGGCATTAATCTTTAAATTTGGAAGCCAAAAGAGGTCAGCTGTACCGGAGTTCACTTTTTTTCTTTTTAATTGAATTTTCCAGCGAGTTTACCAATTCTTCGAATTTGAAAGAAATGTGAGTAATGATCTACTTGTGTACTTACATGTATTTATATATGTATATGTATATATGCACACTTTAGATTTTTATATTGAAAAATAAAATTTTTACTTTCTTTCTAGCATGATAGATTACTTTAAAATTTCAAATTTTTTAAAAATTTGTTAAGTTTAAACTTTTAGTTGGTCAGTAAGGTTGAGTTGTCATTTAGAAATTTTCATCCGGAGCAAAATTCTGCTAAAATGAATTTTTTCGTCCACAAATACATAGGTACATGAAGAAAGTCCAAAAATTTATTAATCAAATTTTTATGAAGAGAAAAAAAGAAGGTTTATGTCGAATCTCAATTTTAGTCAAAATTTTCATTTTTTGTGGTAATACTGCTTACTATGTAACCAATAATTTTCAGTCTACAAATTTTTTGATTCCTTCACTTTCATTACTAGAAACAAAATAGTTCTCATAACCAATTTGGTTTCACTAAGAATATAGAAGGTGTAAGTTTATGAGTTTTCGCAATTTAAAAATTTTCTAAATTCTCAAAATTTTTAAAATTTAACTTTAACACAACTAAATTAGAAATATTTTCAATTCAATTGGCAATTATAATGAATTCCATACATTTCAATTCTAATTTATTCGAACGTAATTTCATTTAAGATTATTATCTTATCTTATAACCTTATCTTTTGTATACTTGATAAAATTTTAAAACAGGTGAATGTAACCCAGAAAAGTAAAATTAGTTATCAACTTGTTTCGGACGAAGGTAGTAATTTCTGTGTTATAATCTAGCGTATGTTGTGTTATTCTCACTCTTTTGAGAACTATAAAGAAGCTTTACTCATAAAATAGACATGCGTTAGAGTACGAAAAAAAAAAATTGAATTTTATACAAACACATATATACATACACTCGTTAATACATATGCATAAAGGAATCTTATTTAATAATTGAATTTGTGAATATAAATTGAAATATAAATGAATTGAAAAAAAATTGAATTAAATTTTGAATTTTGCAATTTATGAAATATTTTACATAGTGAATATATGACAAATATAATAATTATATAAAAATAAAGTGGTGTATCCTTTGGAATTTATGCTTTAATTAAATTTAGTCAACGGTTTCCTGATTATTTAAATAAACATTTAATTAGTACTATTTAAGTGTAATGTGCTCCTGTAGAAAATAATTTTACATTTGATTACATATACAAACGTACATACATGTAATTACTGCATTTTAAATAAAAATTGATTGTCTTTTTTTATTAAGGATTTAAAAAATAATTATTGTGATCCTGCGATGGAATCAAAAATAAATTTCAACTCCTCAAAATAATTATTATAAAAGATAAATGAATGCAACTTCAAAACTTTGTACAGAAAGATTAGAATTTAATTGTGTAATCGGAAAGCAGAAAATCAATGTACCTGGGAGTTTGTCTTATGCAGACATTTTAGTATGCACATAAACTAGAACTAATTCTTCTTCAAAATTTTGAAATAAAGACGACAACGCCTCATATTTATCATGTCTGCAAGTTCATGGTGTTGGTAAGTTTACAAAATAAAAATAATTCTTATATTTTATAACTATAATGCATACTATAGGATTTCAATATACACACATAAAAATTAATATCTTGTAGGCGAAAATATTTTTAAATGAATAATTTAAGTGAAAGATAAGATTAAATTCTTATTTTCTAAATTACACAACACAAGACGTGATAAACTGTTTCTATTGCTAAGCTAAGTGCCTATAAACAGGGTTATTAAGCTCACCGGTCATGATAATATTTGCATCCACCCTATTTCAATAATATTATGAATCACAACTAAATATAAAAGTAAATAAATACAAAGGTATATATAGATTATTTAAACCGTTTAGAATAAAAAAGTTATAAAATTTCAATTACAGTCTTATTTACCCTACTATAGGGTAATTAGGGCATTCAAATTTGAATTAATTTTTTAATATATTAAAACAAATTTATAAATATTTGAAATAAGCAAATATTTTTACTAAAATAGAAAACGTGGCACATAATAAGTGATTCATGAACCGTAAGATTGCCAGATAAGTGGTTAATACTTGAACCTCTTTAAGTTTGCAGTATAATGTATAGAGGTTTTCAATGTTTTGGTATGGTTTTCAAATATTTTAAAATGATTTGTTGTTCAATTTCGGTAAATTGCCCAATTACATTTCATTTCATTTTATAAATGGTTTATGTTAATATAAAATTAGAGTAAATTTTACTCTTCAAAAACCGCCATAAATAAAATTTAACAATTAGATCATGCTAACTTGGTGATTGAAAGCGTGTTCACTTATATTTCAAGAGAAATATGAATTATTTAGTTCACCAAAATAAAAATCCCTGAACACTTGATTTTTATTGTCACAGTTGCTTTTCTAATGAATCTTACAATGTGTTTTATATCAGATCGGCTATAATGCGAAATTCACCACGAACCAAGGATCTGTTAATTAACGTCACTAAGACCAAATATTGTGATGTTATCAAAAATCGTTGCTGTCACATGCCGTTTGACTGGTTTAAATTGATGCACTAAAAATATTGCTGTAATACTCACAAACCAAATGTAGCCTAAATTTTATTGGAATGAGAAGAATAATTCATTACAGTCAGAATTTACCACCGTTGCACTAGTAGCTTGGATCAAGCATTAACACAGGATCAAATGACGTTACCATATTGATTTCACAGAAAATCTGGAAAATTTCGCCCCAAAATCTGAAAATCAGGCAATATAAAAATATTTAATCTAAGCTTTTGCCAGACAGCTTATGTTTGTCGAAAACTATTCTTATTAGAGTTTAATTTTTAAAGAAAACTTGAATCAAATTACTTCTAAAAATATAAATTTTTGCTCTGTTGATGTTCTAAATAAAAAAAAAATAAATTATTTTGCTGGTTAATTAGTTTTAAAATAAAGCTCATTTCTCCATTTCATTGTTAGCTATCAGTACAAAATTGCATTTAAAATGAGGCTTAACTCGTGTGTCCATAAAATAAAATCAACCTTATTTCACAAACATTATCAAAATATCAAAACCAGTATTCGGTTACTCAAGTAGACAGTCGTTGCCTATTGGAATTCACAATAATATAATTATTATCCAGCTTCAGCTTCACCTAGGTGTCAATTAATTTAAAATAAATTTTATATTGATTTTTGAAATACTAGATTACCGCTTGAATAATAATAATTCACAAAACAAGAAATTTATAGTGATTTGTCATATTTTTCCACAGAAAAAAATCTGCCATTTTTGGTAAGAAATTTGATCATGCGGCAGACTTTTGAGAAATCTGAAAAATCATACAAATCTGGCAAACGCTGAAGAGGATTGCTTGCCCGCCTACTAAATCATGTTCAAAAATTTTGGTTATTTTGAATAAATTTCTGCTGTTATACTGAAAATATCCTTTATTACCGATTCCCTGTTCAGTTTTCAAATGATACATGCAAGAGCAACCATCTTCATTTCTTTTTTTTGTATTTTTTTGTGATCAAATAAAATTTAATTCATTTAATACACTTTGATGATTACACTAAGGTCTTTATCGAATAAATAAAAACAAAGAATACTTATAGTTTTGTTCGCCATGACGTAATTTAATTTGGAGCGTATCTTATCAGGTATGCATGTGAGTAGTCATCAAATTACACATACATGCATACCTGATAAGGTCAGTAATAATATCGATTGAAAGTTGAATTAAAATTTATTTATTTTTCTTTATATCTAAAATCTTTTTTTTGTATTTCAAAGAAAATTTATTTATAGTGGCATTGTAAGTTCGCCCAAAGTTTTTTATAATAATTCTGAAAATATTGCTTTTGCATACAAAAACTGTTTTTAAAAATTGTTACCTTAATTAATTTTAAATTTATTTTTATTTTAGAAAAATGTGAATATGGAACGATTAAAACAGCAAGATATTTTCAAATTATTTGTCTTAATTCTGTTGACATCTAATTCAACATTTGCATTGGAATGTTTAGATGGTTGCAAATGCTATTGGATAGCTGAACTTTTTGAAGCAGATTGTTCATATCGTGAACTTGAACAATATCCAAATAATTCACAACAGAATGACATACGAATTGATGCAATCAATTTTTCTAATAATAAATTTACTGAATTTCCATATTATTTATCAAAAGCTGAAGATTTTACATTTATTGATTTAACAAATAATAGTATCAAAAGACTTAAGCCAAACACATTAAATGGATTTAAATCATTAAGAACTTTATTTTTAAGTGGAAATAATTTTAGTACATGGAGTGATATTAATCCTAATACAGCATTTAAAAATGCTAAAAATCTAGAAACATTATCTTTATCCAACAATCCAATAACAAGTTTTTCAAATGTAGATGAAACTCTTCTTATTGTAAGTCATTCGATTGTAGTTCTTGATTTAGCCTATTGTCGCATTTCAAAATTAGCTGGGGAGTATATGTTAAGTGGATTAACAGTATTAGAACGCCTAATTTTAAATGGTAACCCTTTAAAATTATTAACATCTTTGATATCAGATACTTTAAAGGTATACGATTTAAGCGATTGTCAAATTAAATCAGTTACAAGTGATGCATTGGCATATTTGCCAAATTTGATACATTTGAATTTGTCGTATAATAGTGGAATTTCTTTAAAAAATAAAAATGGTGAATTCTTAATATCAACATCAGTGTTAACTTTAGATCTGTCCAATTGTAATTTAGATGTAGTTGAAACTGGAGGATTTAGAAAATTGTCAACTTTAATATTTAATGGAAACTTATTGAAAAAATTGAATCCATCATTTTTTGCAAATAATTCATACATAGAATATTTAGATTTATCAAGAAATTCTATAAATCACATTGATGTCAAGACATTCAGTAATCTTCCGTTACTAAAAAAATTGGACTTATCTTACAATGTTATTTCAAATATAGATGCAAATTTATTTGCAATGAATGACTTTCTAATTTTATTAAATTTAGAGCAAAATTTTATAAGCCGGTTCCAAAAAATGACTGCAAATTCTTTGATTCATCTAAATCTGAATTCAAATGACATTTCAAAAATTGATAGTGACGCATTATCATTGCTAAGTAATATATCGATTCTGGATCTTTCATACAATGTGTTTTCAATATTTCCTAGTAATATGGAATCAAATACATTACAAGTTTTAGATTTAAGTATGGCTAGGTAAATAAAAATAAAATTATACAATCGCATAGCATAGCGTTCACTTAAATGTTATTGATTACTTTCAGATTGATAAGAGTAACTAATAGGACATTTCAAGGATTTCCTTTGCTTAACAAATTAGATTTGTCTGGCAATCGTTTAACCAAAACAATAAAAGTTTCATACTTTAAAAATAATCCATATTTGCAAGAAATTCGGCTCCATGATAATCTTTGGGAATGTGATTGTAACGACAAAGAGTTTCAAGAACTTTATAGTTATTACATGCAAAGACGCACGGTATTTCGCTTTATTATTAAATACAAATTTTTATTATTGTTATTGTTTTAGCCAGGAACAAGATTAAAAGAAATACCACAATGCGGACATCCCATTAATTCATTTGAAAACACTTGGGGTCAATTTTGTAAGCACGTGTGGTCTGTAAAAGCAAATATGGGTCTACCAGAAAAAATTTGGGTCATAATATTTTCAGCAATTCTTGTATTTGTGGGTTGCTTATGCTTATATACCCTATTTAAACGTATGTACAAAGGCTGTAAGAAATCTTATAATCAGAGGATTTTGAGAAGAAATTTGAGTGAACAACGAGAAATGTAAGTATAATATGTATATGCTAAATCGATATAACTAATTCAATTCTATATTTAACTTGTAGTCGACGGCAAAATGACGAAATGTTACAGCAACAAAACTTTCAAAATGCTCCAACAGTAAACATACGTGAATCTAATCCACCATGTTATGAAGAAGCTCTATTAATGCCAAAAATCGATCGTTCCAAATCCATGGATCAAATAAATGTGTCAAATAAACAAAAAAGAAAAACATTACATAGAACCAATACTAATGTGGACTTAGAAAATGAAGAAAACTTAATTATCGGTCATAGTCACTTTCTGAGTGAGGAACGACTTCTTGATCGTAATAAAGAACGGTTAGAATCAAATTTTGGTTATGTTAGACGACATCAAGCTAGACCTTCAGATGGTTCGCATTTAAATGCAAATCAAATAAATTATGATTCAAAATTTCCTCCAGCTCATATGAAATCACAAAATTTACAAAGTGCTGAATATATTGCGGTAATAAAAAATTCCCGTACTAGTCCCTACAGTTCAAGAAAATGGAAAATGCATGCTGATTCCATTTCATTTGCTAGTATTTCCGATGATGAGATAGGTGTTCATAGGACATCAATTGGACATAGCAAAAATGGTGGCGAAGTAGATAGTTTAGGACATCGAAGAACCAGTCCTTACTCTAGAAGGCGACCGCGTGGTGTATCGGTTTCGCAATTATCAATTTCACGAGAAAATATATATGACGAGAAACCATCTGAACCGGAAAATGTTCCCGATTTAGCACAACCGAATAAACATGTAGTTTTGGTTGAAAATCATTTCAGAGATGAAAGTAAAAAGAAAAACGGCAATTTATCAACAGATACGATTAAATCTTCTATTTCTTCAGATTTTGATAAACTTCAAATTCCGTCAAAGGAGCAATCTATTCAAAGCTTGCCATCTGATACTGATAACAACGGGGGAATTGTTATAGTCAATTTACCCACTAAAGAAAGTAAATTTTAAAAGCAGATTCATAGTCAAAAGCAGATTGATATAGACATAATTAGTTCTGCAAAAATATTAGGTTTTATAATTTTGTAAGTTCAAGCGTTATTATTATTGTTAAAGCTAATTTTATTATAAATGCAATTGCGACAAATTGTATTTATACTTACTTATATTTACATTATATACTTATACATTAATTAAAGTAAAAATATTATTAAAGAAATTTTAATTTTTAATTTTTGCGTTTACCTTGTTAATAAAATTAATTAAGACACCTTTTGCTAAATTTTTGTTATTCCTTGTTCTTACTTCACGTTCACAAACGTAGATGCTATAGTATTCAAATTTTTGCAGATTTCTATGAGACGTGAGTGCTATAACTTTCATTAATATTCATAACATATTTCTACAACAACCAGTTAGATATGGGTTAAATTTTCGTAAAAGTATCTCCTAAGTGAAATATACGTAATTTCTTAAGTATATTTTACTCAAAAAAATATATTTCTCGTTTTTGCAGGTCAATTATTTTTTAGTGTCTGTAAACGTGACAGTAGAATGGCAGAATGACTATATCAATACTTATGGGCCAGGGCTATTTTATTTAATAATGCAGCATTTGTAGTAATATCAGAAAACCATAACCTAGGAAAAGGTTGGATCGAAAGTAAATGTTAATTTCCAAAAATTTTTAATTGTACTCCGTTTTTAAGTTTAACTTCAATTCTTCAAATAAAAATTTTTGAAAGCACTAAGCAAACGTCATAAAAGTTTCAGAAAACTTACTTTTTTAATATTTTATTTATTTTACGATTATAGAAATTTATTCAGAATTTTTTATATTCGTATAATTTTTTCAATATTTCTTTTATTAGTTTAATAATTTAGATTCAAGGAAATTTTATAATACGATATACCCTACAATACATCGATTTATTATTTTTGATTTGATTAAGTAAGTTACTTACGTTTTTGTTTCTTTTCTTTTGCATATGTATAGGCGAACGTAATTGAAAATGTTTTTTAATATTTGTTCACACAACTAACAAAAACAGCCGTTAGATTGAGTTAGTTCTTAAGTTATATTTTTTCTTGAACAAAATAAAATAAACCACTATGTTGAAATTCGGTATCATTCCGAAAAAAAAAAGTAATTACACATTTAATATTCAATTACAGCCATTCTTAAAATTATTCCTACTTAAATAATATTTATGTAAATTTCTAGTGGATGCACAAACCTCAAGAAAGATATCATAAATGCTACATAGGAATATGTAAAAACGTACAATTTTCTGTTAGAATCTAGGTTTTTGGATGAGGTTATGATAAAAGAAATTTATTTTAAAGGAATTTGAAACACACAATATGTCGGGATATTTTAAATAACATATAAGAAAAAAAGAAGATGCATGTAAATATTTACAAATTTTTATAAATAATGCTTACGTTAGTTTTTTCATCAACATTTTTAAATTTTGCCTATCGAATTTCCTTGCCAACAATTTAAAATTTAACCCGAACATTTGAATATTCACCAATAATTACGGGATTGAAAAAAAACAAATTTCGAATCAAATATTTTAATCACAAATAAGAAGATCATGCAGAGCCATCTATTGAGCTTCAATAAAATCTGTACTCAAAAATTAATTTCTTTTATACAACAGAAGCAAAAAGGAGATCTGCTCAATGCTATAAATAAATACTTTATAATATTATAGGGCTAGCAATAAATAGCATTGTGTGAAATTTTTAAAATTAATGTATGTACATCAATTCTGGAAAAAAGTTTGCGATTCACCTCTTAGAGTCTCAGATTTAGTGGTATTAATTATCCAGCATGGTTTTTTAAATAATATTTTATACTGCAAAATAAAAAATGAAACAAAACCAAAGGATCATGAGACATTTCATCATAATATTCTTTTACTTTTGAAGCATATGTTTTCCACTAAATGGCTTAAAAGACCAAAACTCATATTGTGACTAGCAACATTTTTACAGCACCTATACTATTAGAAAAGAATCAATTCAATTAAGTTGATTGCAAATTTGTAGTTATCTTATTTTTTGCGGAATGTTCCAAATTGTATAGGCTACTGTACATGGAAATGTTAAACCTTTAGAGAGTGTTTTATTAATGTAAAAGCAACGCGGGAAAATTATCATTCAAATAAAAATTGTTATACACATATTATACTATTAAAAATTCTTTAATAGGTTTTATTCACCGTATATAGCCACATTTTCGTATATTATGCAAAATAAAATTATTGTTTTTAAATGAAAACATAGTGTCATTTAGTTTTAAAGATTTTTGCCGAATTTACTAAAGAATAACCAATTAAAGAACTAAATATTTCGTTGTTATTACTATATTGGTTTATTTATTATTATATTGGGGAGAAGATTGGTTTATTGGAAGGAGTTAATAAATTTCAGAAAAATAAAATATGGAAATTGACAAAATTTTTAGAGAAATTTGAAAATGTGGTAAAAAATACCATTAAAAAGAAGAACAAGAAGATAATCAAAGACCCGAATTAAGAGAGCGCATTTATTTTTAATAAAAGAAACCAAATTTTATTTTACTTAGAATTTTATTCATAGTATTTTAAAAGTTTAAGAATTTAAAAATTTTTCTTTTCCTATTCGATTCTTATTAGCACATTATGATTGTATTCCTATGATCAATTAAAATTAAATGAGATGTTAACAAATTATTATAAACATTTCTTCATCATTTCATATTTATTTATAACCTAATTAAAATTTTATTTAAAAATATTTGATTTTATTTCTTTTAAGACACTTAACAAATGCGAAAGACATAACCACATTTATTAAGATCAATTATTGTTAGTATCAGTTTAGTTTCAGAAAATTATATCGTAAAAATTAATATTAAAATACAATATTAACAATATACAAACCATTGGCTTCATTTTGTTTCGATAAATTGTATGAAATTTTTACGATATGTGTACGTAATGTTTTTCTTTCTTCGTAGAAAAAAATAATTTTCTCTTCTGTAGAATAATAACGATAAGATTTTTTACGAAAAACTATATACATATAATTATTATCATTATTATTGAAATTAATTTCTGAGAGCAATCATTATATGATTCTAATATTATTATCGTAAAAAATTTATTTAAGACACACAAACTACTTTCATTGGTTTGTGTTTAAAATAATAATAAATAAGTTTTTTACGATAAATTCCATAATAATTTTTAATTGTTCTGTTATACAAGTGAAACCCTTTTAATTTTGTTCTATTCTCCAGTTAATAATTCAAAAATTTTTGCAAACAAAAATTATAATTCGTATAGATATTGAAGATACGGACAGATCAGAGATTGATTTTGATATTTATCGTAAAAGCTTTAATAATTTTATTGTAGATACAAATTATGAATCACTTGTACGTTTGAATTGATTTGAATATAAACGATAAATATTACTTTAACTTCCTGTTTCGATACTCGAAATCATTTCTATTGTTTATTCACTGTTATAAAAATATGCTGGAGAAAAAGAAAAACAAATTAAATTTACATTGTTATTTAATAATTAATTTTATTCCTGATAACAATTATGACCTTAATTATTATTACAAAGTCTAGCATTTTCTTTATTTATGTCTATATATTATAAGAATACAATTTAATTTTCGGAATACCTACAAGATAGTTGAAATATTATACGAAATGCTGTCGGAAGAAAACTTTTAAATTTTATTGGATTTTTTTAAATGAAGATTTGTTATCGTTAATAAAATCTTAAATAAATTTTTTAAATAAAAAATATAACAGAAAATTTTGCTAATTTTTCATCTATTTCAGTTCCAGAATCATATACTCGTATGTATATTTTTTTTAACGATTCCCAAATTTAATATACGATTCGGTTTAAGTCATAACTAAAATTAAAATTGGATATAAAGAAAAATTTGCATTTCGTAATTAGTACTAAAATTTATAATTAATATTTGAAAACCTATCATAACTCGAATAAATTTTCCGAGTAGATTTTAGTATAACAGTTAAAAATATTATAATGACAATTTTTTTAATTATATTGTTTTTTATTTTTTAGTTATAAGAAGAACATCGGATTTTTTAAAAATTTTTTACATAATGGTTTTTTTTAGCATTTATATAGATTTAAGATATTAGCTATATTTAAAAAGTGAAGGCATTTTTATAATAATGTGTACAAATTATTTTAAGTTTTACAAATTAACAGAACTAAATTTAAAAAAAAAAAAAACTTAATAAAAGATTTGATAAAAAATTCTTTTTAATTCTATTTTAAATAGATATATATATATATGTTTGTTTATAAATATATATATATATATATATGTATGATTTTATGTCTAATATAAATATATATATATATGTATATATTAACTTTTTTAAAACCTATCACAATATACAACTTATTAGTTTTTTTTTCTTGTTTTCTCTAATATTTTTTTTTTAAATTAATTAATTCTTATAATTATTATTTAATTTATATAATTTTTTTTTATATAAATAAAAACTATTTAATTTTTGCTTTTTTATAAAAATATATTGAATATTAATTTTTTTTTTAGAATATTTTATATGTATAAATTTTTTCTTATTAATATGTTATACAATATTATAATGAAAAAAAATATTTAATATTAAAGTATGTTTGATTGACGTTATCATTATAGTCTACATAAATTTTATAAGACACTATTTTTTATTAATGTTTTTTTTATAAGCGTAGCGTAACAACTACAAACTATTGACAGCTTCATTTTGATACACTTATTATTGGTACTCTTATAATATAAAAAGCATTTTTCTCTTTATATTCTCAAGAGTCTCTTTAATTCAAAAATGAAAGAGATTCTTCGAATATTCTCCTATTATGACATTATACTATTATACAATTAATTTGTTTCGTTTTTATTACGTAAATGGCTGCAAAAATACGAACTTGTAGTTTTCTTCATTGCAATTTTATAATTCTATTTTGTTATCTGATTAAAAAGACTTAGGACTTGTGAGTAAATTTTTCGGAAATGTCAATAATAATAATCTTTTAGTTTTTCTGATTCCAATATAGTTATAGCAGAGAGAAAATAATATGTAATTGTAGTTCTAAATGAGCCAGTAATTGCAGTTTTAAACTCTTCTATTGTTTTTTTATTTAATATTTTTTTTTATATTTAAATTAAATATCTTGGTCCCCGAAACACAATTCTTTTCAATTCTTAGATCTATTGTATTTTATTTATGTGTGTCAATAACTGTAGTTTTTACCCTAATATTTTTTTTTATAATATTAATTGTTTTGAATACATATAAAAAAGGTTGTAATTTGGTAAATATTTGATTTATGCACCGCATATTGTTAAATAACATTTTAAAGAATTTTAAATAATTTTAAACGCGTGAAGCATAAATCGAATTTTATATGTATGTATGTATATATGTGTATTCAACACGCGAACACATTAACAATTTTTAAACTGGATTTCTGATTTAAAACCATATGTATGTAAAATTAAATTAAAAATTCATATTATCCCTGATTCATATAGCGGAGAGGTCAGAAATCAAATAAGTGTAAGGTTCGAAATCTTTATTAAAATTTTTGTATTTATTTTCAGTTGAACCCATGTAGAGCATTTATGACACAAATAAATTTCATACAATACCAAATATTTTTTTATTAAATAAAAAATTTTCAATTTTTTCAATATATCTCTAAACAATGATTTATTATCTTACACTGATTGATTTCTGAGCCTTCTAATCCATAAACAAGAATATAATAATTTTTTTTAATATTTTATAAGATAAAATTGATGTAGAGGAACAAAAATAATATTTTCTAATTTATATTTTCGTAAAAAAAAAAAAATTAATTATAGCCTGTTTAGCACTTTTTTATGAATTCAGCACTTCTTTATGAATGACAGACTAGCAATTCCATTATTAAATAGATATTTCAAATGTTCAGGATTTAAAAATACATTTATAAGTATTTGCTTCGAATAAGCTCTTGATGGCAGTCTTTAACAACAGAAATTGTTAAAATAAAGGCAAATTTATAAAATCGCTTATGTGACTTTGGAATTATTTTACAAGTTCTGCAACAAAAATTCGAAAAAGATTTTTCTTTTGATTAATTTTAGAAATTTGCAAGTATGTAAACTAAATAAAATTCATTTAACTTATTAAATCGTCAGTATTTTATTAGTTTTACAACCTTTTAACCAAAGCCACTTTGGTTTTAATATTCCTGATAGAAGATGAAAGATGAAAGATGAAAATTTACTCCAAATTCTCAATTGAATTGTTTTCACAAAAATTCTTTCATAAATTTTAAAATTTTAAGCAAAACATTTAAAAAATGAAAAAAATAGTTAACTAGAATAATATTTTTTTATCTAACTATTCAAAAAAAAAAAAAAATTACAAATTGTCCAATAAAAGTGACTTTCTGGTTTTTATTCTAATTTTACAATTATATAAAAAGACATAACAAAAAAAATAATGTTTAAATTATTAGAATTTATTTATTTTCGTTACTTTTTACCCCACTATCAACAACATCTGATGTTGGTGTTGTAACAATATCACCAGCATTTGAACGACTTCTTGTTACTAGCATTGGTGTTTTAGGTTTTGGTACTTCAGTTAATTTTATTTTTACTTTACCAGTTTCTGGTGAATAAACGGGGCTATAACGACCAGTCTTTGGCGATGAAGGACTTTTACTGTCACTCGTATCACCACTAGTTGGTGATCTGGGGGATTTTGGCGGTGGATAGCTACCAAAGCGTGGACTATGAACCTTTGGTGGGCTTGTTTGTTGTGGTGATTGCTGTTGTAGACTTTGCCTTGGTTCTGGAACTGGAATATTATTGGATTGTTCTTGTGGTTTTGTTAAATTATTATTTGACTCATCATCGTGTGGATCTTTTCGATGACCATTAAGTAATGGTTCTTGTGTTTTTGGGTCACTATCTGAATAACCTGGTTTTTTACCATTTGTAGTTGGTTTAGAATTATCATTAGTTATTAATGGTTTCTGTTCATGTCCATTCTTTTGTAAAGGTTTTCCCAAATTTTTCTTATCCATGTCAACTAATTCTGAAGCACGTTCTGCATCACGTTCATTACGCTTACGTTTGGTAATCATCTTTTTCAAACCAACGTACATTAGGAGACAAATCAATATTATGAGAACTGTACCTAAAAGAATGTAAGTGCTATTACTTTCACCAGCCTCAGCTTTATCGATATCAGCCTGAATCATATCATCTTTGTGGGAATCTGTTTCAGCAGGTAAAAGAACATCAACATTATCATCATCATTGTTTTCATTTTCCAGAACTGATACCAAATCAGGAATAATCGGTTCTTCTGTAACTTCTTCCTCTTCAGTCGTATCTTCTTGTGTAATTGTTTCACTCGTTTCTTCACTTTTGCCACTTCCAAATATTCCTAAGCCAAAACTTAATGATGTATTTTCTGTAGAAAAGAAATCATCAGTTGGTACAGGAATTGGAGTGGACTCTTCCGAATCTGATTTTTCAGTTTCGACAAAAGTCACATCATCAACTTCAGATAATTCTGTACTATTTACATTCGATTCATCCGAAGTGTTTTCGATTAATGGAATATGAGAAATTCCCATACCACTACCAGAACCATCCTCATCATTTTCTTCATCCATTGGATCAATTACTTCGTTCGATTTATTTTCTGTAGCTGTTGAAGATTCTTGATCTTTATCATGTTCATTCTGCATAGGTAAATGTGATAAACCAGATCCTTCAACATTTTCGTCAATAACCTCATCGGTATTTGTATTTATTGGCATATAATCTTTTCCCAATTCTTCATCTTTATCTTTCTCTTCAGATCCGTCAGTAATAGGTGCATCGCCCAGCATTAATTCGTTTTCGTTATCATCATTGATTTTTTTCATTTCATCTACATTTTCGTCATCTTTATCTGTTTCTTTCTTACAATATAAGTCTTGTTTAATTTGCAACCACAAAGTGCCCTTTAATTCGATTGGATGTGTGCATTTTACAGGATATGATGTGAAAACGCTATTTTTTACTAAATGGTTTCGAACTTCCAATGTATCACATGTACAATTAAGTTTATTACCAAATAGTTCAATTTTTGTTAGATTTAATTTTGATAACTCTAATGGCAAATATGTAATTTCATTAAAGCTAACATCTAAATCTACAACAGTTCCAGGAATATTGACTAATTTTGCTGATGTAATTTTATTATGCTTTAAATTAATATGTTTTACTCGTGGTCCCAAATGTCCGATATCTGATAATTTATTATATGATAAATCAATGGTTGTTAGTGCTCGAAGCTTATCAAGATGATTAATTTTTGTTAAATTTGCATGAGATAAATCTAATGAATGTATTGGAAGATTTTTAGATTCTAGGAGACCGTTTAAACTGGTACATTTTGCATGATTTTGATTTGTTCTAGGTATTACTGTGCAGGTGCAATCTGATGGACACCAATCTTGTGAACTGCCTAATGGTATACTGTTTAAGATTATAATAAAAATAAAGTTTTGCAATAATCGATATGGTTCCATTGTTATTATTTGTGATGGCAGCGTTATGTTATCTGTAAAGGATAAAAAATAAAATTTATTAATTTTTTTAAATCAACTACAATTGTATATGGTTATTAAAAAAGAAGACATAATAAAAGTTTAAGTGTTTCAACAAATCAACAAAAACAAATTATTTGCGTAAGTAATGAACTGAAGAATGAAGTTGTAAAATAAGTTAACAAAATGCTGTCAACAATGTGTTAACAGATTCGAATATAGATACTTAAAGTTCAGCCTTTTAAGTTTCAGCCTTTCGTCGCTTTTCTACACTTTTCTGGAAGGAAGACAGACTAAATGAACCAGAAATTGTAATACATAAAATGCACATATAAATACTTAACAAAGATATGAAAATATTTACATAAACATTGTGAGACCTTGAAAATTCAAAAATATTGTAAATATTATCAAATTATTTATGTCTATAATAGTCTAAGTGTATTTAATTGTGTAGGAACCAATCTCGTTGTATGTAAGGTAAACAAATGTTTATGTTTACGTGTAAAGAAAAGTATGTAATCATCAAATATTTAAATTTATTATTTATTTTTTGCTATTTTGTTTCTTTACACATTTCAATATTAAAATAAAACATAATTTTTTATGCGTAGTAAAAATATTTAGTTTTTGCTCAACGCTTGTTTCATGAAAGCTCTACACTTGTTTTTGTGGTACGTTAAAAAATCGTTTACTACATTAGTATGTAAATGTAAAAAGAGATTTACAGTTGTAATTTCCAAAGAATAATATCTCATAATTTTTGGAAATTATGCTCTTGAATTTGGTGAACAATTTTCAAGGATTTACCCTAATTCTTAGGTTAGTAAGAATGTAATCTAACCAAGATTTCTTAACACACATAACAGTATGATTAATTCAACTAAATTTAGGTATATTTAAGAATTTTTAACTTCATATATTAGTACGATGATTTACCTTAAAACAATCCAAATATTTGTTGACCAATCCAAATATTTTTAAAATAAATTATTTTTTGTGACATATTCCCATATGCGATAATTGTTGTATAAGAATTGAGGGCAAAACCCCATAGCATTCAATTATAAAACTTTCCAGTAGAGAAAAATTTATGTTTAAAGTCACATTCTTGCAATAAAACTATGAGGCAGATAACTACAAAATTTCTAGATAATTTGTAACAATAAACATTTATCAATCTAACTAAACTAGACGACGAATTAGGATTTATTTGAAATTTAGGTTTTGAACTAAAACAACGAATTCTTGAATTCTTAATAATCAGAAAAAAAAGTATTATCTAGGTTTATGAAGCCATAGTTAAGCCTAATCTTTTAGTTTCACGTGCCCTCACAATAGTATTAATTAAAAATAATCTTCGAAAAAACTTTCTAGTAAACTCGAAAATCAGCAAAAGCACTACAATTTTCAACATAGGATAGCCCTTATTATAACATACAATCAATTATGTTAAAAAATATGATCTTATTTACGCGATTTCAAAAGAAGTATAAGTAATTTTACTTTATTATATAAACAAACACGCGTTTTATGGGTTTCGTTGTAAACTTTACATAGGGTAGTGTTATACAAAATTATGTTTAAGTGATTTGCAAATAAACAAAATTAATAGCGCTAAGATTGAAACAAATTGTTAATTTAATTATTTGATATTTTTTTTTTATTCTAATGAAATTGTAAAAAACGGCGAATCAAAATTAAAATTCTAATTCAAAAATTTTCGGACCATCTTTTCTTGTTTTCAGAATCTTTTGTTTTGCAATTTTTTGTTTTAAACTCATATTTTAGACGTAGCAATATTATTAATATGTATATGTGGATATATTTTAAAAAAATTTTATTTCTAGCACAAAATGTGTAAAATATTTTGGCAACATGTCAGATTTCTGTTCAAGTAATATTATAGCCGTATTGAGATCAAATTATGAAGAATTAACTATAGGTAAAATCTTAATATTTTTCCATGCATCTGACAAATTAATTTAAGTAATTTAAAATCATACATTGTGTACTTATAGGAGAAATTACCATTTACAATTTATGGTATTTAAAAGTTTACAAACGACAAATATGAAGTTGAGTCACAGTATAACATTATTTCCAAAACATCAATAAAGTAGGTACTTACAACAACGTATTTGAAATTTTGAATTAAGCTAAAGTGGATCATCTTTCCATGCAAATTTACGCAGGAACCAATTAAATACGTTGAGTAAATTGGTGCTTTTGACAATAAACGCGTTTATTTTCTCCTTTTGCTGATGATTTCTCCAAATTCTAAAAAGCTTGTATATTTTTGTTTTTCAATTATACGACATTTTGCTTTGTAAGATCATTGAATGAAATGATCTTATTTTGTTTTTATTTTCAATTACTAATTAAAATTTATATACTAAATTTAATTATTCAATACTAATAGAAAACAATGTTTAATTCCACCTTCATCAAAATTACAATAACTAATATAATTATTTTTCATCGGAATTGACATATTCATTCATGTCATTGACCGTAAACTATTTGTAAAATATCTTATGATTGAATACAACCTGAAAAAGCTATTGACTTAGGTCAAGTTAATTTACGATGTTACGTGGGAAGTTCTATAAATATTCACAATAGCTAATACTTTTGGTATTTTTTTTTTTTATTTTAAAGTAAGACAAAATAAAACTATTGATTAATTTATGTTGTCATTGTCTAATTTGTTCACATTTACAAATGTACATTCAAATACAAATGTATATATGTAGTTATAAATTTTAGGATGTGTTTTTATACTATTGAAACCAAATCACAATTAATTATATTGGATTTTTTTGTTTTTAATAAAAAACTGTTTTTAATGACACAAATTTTGAACGGTCTATATTAGATATACTCAAGATATTCTGCTCATATTTTATGAAAAAATCTATGTACATTTCTGTTAGAATGAGACTGAGCAAACACTTTTTAAAAGTATGAATTATAAGTTCATGGAAATGTTTTGAAGTGATAGACTTGCTTATTTTAAGTTAGTGATCCAATAATAATAATAATATTTCTTTGGAGCTTGATTACGTTGTGAGTTTGAATATAGCTTTTTTATCGTTGCTCTTGAATATAGCACAAAGAAAAATCTGTCTGACTTAAATAACATGTTCACGTTGTATCTAATTCCTGGATAGCATTTACATAATACTGAAAAAGCTCCCTTCATTAGTCTGAGAAAACACTACACAGCTGTGAAAAGCTTCTTTAAATTTAAAAGTAAATAAGTTATTTAAGATGTTTAATACTTTCCCAAATTTCAGGTTCCCAAATTTAGCTAAAAGTCTATTACGTTATTTCTTCATTGAATAGGACTGTAATGAAAAATTTCAAAAATCTCTCCGTATTGTGTTATATTTCTGGATTATGGACTGGAAATTAAAATGGGAATATTAAAATGAAAGAAAATCTAGATCTTATGGAAAAAGCCATCAATTTTTGGCAAAAAGTCTTTTGATTCGTTAAGATAATATGAATCAAAAAGGTGAAGCTAGATTAATATAGGGTTTTAATTTAGCAAATCAATAAAAGCTTAACAATTTAATGACGTTTATGTTGGACTTTTTCATGTAGTTTATTTAAACTTAATTTTACCAATTTATTTTTATCAGAAAATACAAAGGCTTTTTGCCCTGTACAGTGTTACAATTAGTTCTTAGAATAATTACTTTGTATATGGATATCATAGAGCTAACACGTTCCTATTTTCGTTTTCAATTAATTATGGAAAATTCAATAATTACTATTCAAGAGGTAGGCTCCAAAAACATTATCTAAAATCAATCTTTTTATCAAATTTATGTATGACGACAAAAAACCACATAGAAAAAAAATATATGTATAGGATGATCGTTGTAGTGAACATTGAATTTTCATTGTAGTTGTGATCTAGTTCTTCTTCCATATTTTGCATTGGAATTTGGAATCACAATAGCATTATACCACAATAATTATTACATAAAATACAGCATGTGAAGGAATTTTTTTGAATGGATTTATGAATGAAATTATTTAAATTTGCAAAAATTTATTCAAAACTCTTATAATTATGTCTATACAATTTCCACCCTTAATTGTAAGAAATTTTTTTTGAACACGTGCTATTCAATCATTGTACATAACAATTTATTTTTCACAAAAGACGTCATTCTTTAAAATTATTGCAATTTTATATTAATTCTGCTTTTCAATTTATTATACGAGAATATGATATTGCGAATATACCATTTTAGAAACTAGATTCTGACACTATTGACACAATAAAATAATATACATGTTCTTTTTTTTTGTTCATTAAGCTGTTTTCCATGCATTAACAAAATAATAACATGCGCTTTATTTTCAATTGTTTAAGAATAAATTATGTCACTTTTTCAATTTTGCAATTCTAACTTTATCAGTTCTGTTATCATAATAATATGTTTCAGGTTATTATTATTATAGACTTGATTTTCACTTAAAAGTTTACTTGATTTTATGTACCACATCATTGTTATATTTCGTATGAACATAAATATTTACGAAGGCTATTATAAATTTTCCATTCCGTTTGAAACGGTAAAAATAAGGTCCTGCAGTACTGGTATATTTATATACATATTACATTACATTCTTGCCTAGCGTCGAGTTGAGTTAATTGGGCTTGCTTTAGCCTAGCTTTTCCAATTTTAACTCAGTAGTTAATTTAGTTAAGTTCTTTTAAAATTTTACAATTAGTTTGTTACTGTAGATTTAAGAACGCTATTCAAATTGCACTCAGGTTGCTGCCGGAGAAGTTCAAATGTTATTTGACTATATCTTAGAAACCACTTTTTCGCTGCGATATTATAAAATTTCTTACAAATGAGTATACTAATACAACATTTCGTTCCCGAAATCGGGTTTTCCAGGCACCAGGAACTGAAAAAGAATTGAAAAGAAAAAAATGTGATGTATGCCGATATAATACGTGTACCGATATAATTTCCGGTGGGATACT